AGAGAATGGAGGAGAAGGGATTGCGGCGTGGTCATCACCCCTAGGGGGTGATTTCTCATTTTCTATCTCTCTGTCTCTCTCTCTTTCTGGAGAGCGGATGTGCCCTGTATCAAAAACCTCTAAAGAAAAAACAAAACAAAACAAAAAAAACACTTGGGGACTGGTACCAGCGGCAGTGGTGACACAACATCCTGTGAGGCTGGATCTGCACGGGTAGGTCCAGGGTCCACATTTCAACGTCTCTCTATATGCTGGGTACACGTGCACACGCCCGTTTTTTGGAATGGCTGAGGTTAGGTTAAAGGTGGGTCGTGGTGGGAGGACCCTGTTGCGGGTGCCTGCCTCTCTCTCTCTCTCTCTCTCTTTCTCTTTTTCTTTGTCTCTCTCTCATGGAAGAAATAAACTTCAACGAAGCCAGTAATTTGGATGTGTGCATTGATGTGCCCTTTGAAATACATGGGGACTGGCTTTAAAGATAATTCTTCGAATAATTAATACTCTTTAGGGTTTTAGCAATTAAAGAGGGAAAAGCAATGTTGTCTTATTTCTCACTATTAACTTTTAGGACTCTGAACAGTTGGTTGTCTTATATCACTGCTGATAATCTGTGGTGAGTAGTATAAATGAAATAGAAGATTTGGGATTACTAACACATTTGGGGTTGGAGAAACTTTTTTTCTTGAGACGAAACTTAAAAATGGGATTTCCCAAGACTGACATTAAGTCATAAATATATGTATATTTAATGCAAAGTAAAATATTAACCACAACTTTGCAACAAGTTCTGCAAAATGGAGATTCCTTTACCAGAAATTTTGGGCAAATTTCTCCTGTTGGTTGAAAAAGACTGATGCAAGAATGGTAAGATGTGAAAATCCACCAATGAGGAACATGTGTTGGCATAACAAGTAATGTCACACACTTACCTATACTCCACCATGGGGAAGCCAGTAATGAGTATAACTCGTTCTGTTGAAGTAACTGACCCCAGGGCTTTGCGTAGGGCTTTATATAGGGCCCAAACACTGTGTACACTTCTGTGAAAGCATTTGTGTGTTTCTCCATGTAGCATTTGGGGCATGGGGGTAGAGAGCTATCCAGAACAAAAGCCCAATATGTGGCCCTAGAGTGAATAGTGTTTGCTCAACAGGAACAACCAGGCCTCACCCTCACAGGCTTCATTCTCCAACCAAGAGAGTCAAGCTGATGTCAGGCAACTTATATGTATTCAAGAACTGCTAAATGTCAGCGCTCTGGAAGTGTTCCAAAGAGTATTCTAAATAGAGGACCAGCAGTTAATGTAAAGGTTATGTCGCTGGGCTCCCATGTAGTCGACTGCAGTTAGAGTCCCGGACCCGGTGGCTTAAAACTCATGCCAGGCGCATGTGCGTGCATGCCCAAGATCCTGAGAGAATGGAGGAGAAGGGATTGCGGCATGGCCATCTCCCCTAGGGGGGGGGATTTCTTGCTTTCTGTCTCTCTGTCTCTCTCTGTCTGCCTGGCAAGTGCATGCACCCTATAGCAAAAACCTCTGCAAAAACCAAAAAAAAAACAAAAAAAACCCAAAAAAAAAACAAAAAATAAACCGGAGTATTCTAAATAGAATGCAAACTCCCCAAATTAGGACATAACCATTTATAGTGGCATTCTTTTCATTTTTGAGATTGATCATTTATCATTTACAACAGCCCAAAAAGTGCTAGAAAAGACAGTGACATCAGCACATGGCGAAATGAGAATGGGTGAGAACTACTTGCTTTTTTATTTACTTTTCTCCATGCAGCTGAAGAACCACCCTATGAAGAAGACAGATTAGCACTGTCTCCAAATATTAAAGAGAGCCACATGCATGCATCACATGGTCATTTTCACCTATGAATGTTACTCTAATTCTACATACGTTGGGACCTCCTCCTATTTTTTTGACTACAGGATAGATATTTTGAAAATCTAGGCTTTCAATGAGAATATCTATCAGAGTTACGCACTCCAGAAATTATGGGAAAGGAAGATGGGACTAGATTTTTTTTTTTTAAGAGAAATTTTTGTTATAGATTTCTATGTGCGTTTACTGGAGAGACAGAGTGACAGAGAGATAGAAAGCAAGAAATCACCCCCCAGGGTGAAGGGCCATGCTGTAATCCCTTCCCTTCCATACCTCTCAGGATTTTGGACACATACACACACACACCTGGCATAAGTTTTAAGCTGCCAAATCTGAGACTCGAACCACAGTCAACTACATGGGAGTACAGCAACATAACCATTACACCATCTGCTGGTCTCAAGACTAGATTTTTTTTCTTTTAAGCAGAGAGACCCAACTGGCATTCTTGAAAAGCCTTACAAGAATTAATAAACACCTGTTCAGAACAAATTTGAAGCTTGGAATTCTAGGGATGGCATTCCAAATGAAGACTATCTGGTGTTCCTCCCAGGAAGTGAGATACAGTGGAAATGAGCATGCATCCAAGACAAGAGGATCTGGGTTAAATGCGAGCTCCTCTGCTTACCAGAACGTAACCTTCTGTATGCCACTCTATACATCTCAGCTTCGGTTTCTTAATTTGGAAAACATGAATAATATCTATGCAAAAATATCAGCCTTGACTTGGTTGTGAGTCTCAAAGTTGTCATTGTACTGACTTGTCCTTAACTAGTGAGCATTTCAATTAATATGTAAAATAGAGACAACCTTGTCTAGCCTATTTTCATGTCAGAGTCCTAATCTAGTAACTTGTACATCTAAAGAAATTGGCTTTCTAATCATTAGGGTCACATCTTTCCCTTGGGGGGGGGTTGGAGTGAGTTTTTCAGCTTGACCTCTGCTCCCACTCACCTCCCTCTTATTCTCAAAAGTCTAGCACGTTCACTAAACTTTGAAAACAGAATGATATTTTCTTGAAGCAACAAGAATTGCCTGCTTTAATGCCAATGTTAACAAACGAAGAAGCATGGCAATGCCCACTTCTCTAAAACAGCTGTAGTCTGAGCTGCCCCAGCAAATTGCCATTCTCCTTAACCTCTGATGATAAAATATAAACACAAGCAGCAACAATGGATGAGGTTAGAAAAACATGGGCTTCTGCTCCAACAGAAGTACTGCACCTTCTAGTTACTGAGGACAAATGGCTCCAGCCCTAAGTTCCTCCACTCCACAAGGGATGCCAGTGCCCATTTCAGTAGGTGAGTGAAGACCCACTGAAATAGCTTGGACAGGCTGCTGGGCTCTCATTAACAGTTCCAGAGATATCAGCTCCCAGTCCCATTTTAAGCTTTGATTTTAAATTAAAAGTTGCATCGTTTTTGAGCAGCAAAGTGTGAAATTTTCTGCATGTCTTGGAGAAAATGAACCTTTGAGTTCTGAAAGCAAGGACTGCATTGGAATTACAAACGGAGCCGGCAGAGGGGCTTCTGGGAATTAACTAACAGAGGATTGGTGCTTACAACTTAGGCAGGGAAGTAAGGCTCAGCCCCTTGCTCCCTCTGAGCCTCTTCTCTGTGGGCTGGTTGGCGCTGCCTGCCACATAGCTCAGGCCTGACATCAGTGCCTGCCTGACTCCCAGGACCTCCCTTCCCAACTCCCCTGGACCACGAGAGAAAGTTCCTCATGCAGGCTGGGGTCGCTCTTCATACTAAGTCAGAGCTGGGTTCCCTTGAGAGGGGACTCTGCTGGGACTGGCCAAAGAAGCGTCCTGAACGGATACTTGCCTTTCCCTGAAGTATTTTTCAATTCTAAGACACATCACAAAGACACATTCCTTTCGGACACTCTCTTCAGTAACACCCCAGCTCTAACCACGCCCTGATCAGTCCTGGCTCAGTCAAACCACAGGAAAACAAACAAGGCTTTGATTCCTTTGTGAGAAAATCAAAGAGCTGCTGAAATTCACTTAAAGGAAAAGAGAGAAAGAGGGAGGGAGAGAGAGAGAAAGAGAGAGAGAGAGGACCGCTCTACCACACACTGTTTACTACTTTCACTAAACAGACCCAATCAGAAGCAGAAATTTAGGTTTAGCTTATGAACAGCTTAGGAATGTTTGGTAGCTCTCCAGGGCCCCTGCTGCCCAGTGAATGAAGCCTCTGAAATTAACCTTTTAGAGTCAACCTAGGGTAGGGTGGGGAGTGGGGGGGTAAGAAAAGTCCTTCAACACTCTTGCCCTGGAAAAACAGACTGCTTGCCAAATTCAAATTTGTCTTGGCCAAAGTAACCATTAACAAGTCAGCCCTTTAATGAGGTTCTAAGGAAAGTATTTCCCCTTGACTTTGAAGAAAACACCTTTCATGTGACCTCCAAACTATGTTACTTATTTTAAGAGTACACAAAATGAACTTGTCTTTTTCTTTTTTTGGCTTACTCCAAAGCTGTGCTTCTTGCAGAACTCTATGCAACAGAAGCCAGCAAGCCAGTGGGGGTGTTCACCCTTGCAGAAGAAGAACAGGGTCTGGAGGTCCCTGGATGCTGGTCAAGTTCTGCTTACTGAACTGATGCTTATTACAGGGGTGATCACGCTAGAGATTCGCCTACTGCATCCCTGATCTTTTACTCTCTGAACACATACTACACCTCAGTAAAAAGCAAGCAGAAGAAAACACCCCTGGATCTCAGAAGACAGCAAAAGCAAACAAAAAGCTCTTTCTATTCATGCAGGGGCTGCAGAGATACACACTTTCAGGACAGGCTCAACAGATGTGACACTGACACACACACACACACACACACACACACACACACCAGCCAAAGGCAGGCACCAGCGGGGACTTTAGAAGGCCGAGCAGCAAACTCCATCCCCGAGCGGAAATCAGTTTGCATAGTTCCAATCGGTGGTTCCTGAAAACATATTCAAGAGCCTGGTTTTCCCATCCTAAAGGGAGAAGGATGGAGTTCGGTGACATTTGGAACTTCAGAGTAAATATCATATAAAATAACTACACTAGCGTGCGCTGTCCAAAAAAGTTACAGTCAATTTTATGTTGGAAAAAAATAAGCAGGTACTTACCTATTTGGTCTTCAGGGATCATCGACTCGATGGGGGGGTCCAGCTCGGAGCTCTGAGACAAATAGTTCTTGACCTGGGTCATGAACTGCCGAATGGTCTGCAGCATGTCGGTGCTGGACACGTGGCACTCCTTGTTCTCCTGCAGGAAGCTCACGTAGTCCTGCACCAGGCAGCCGAAGTAGGTGCACTTATCCCGGGACAGCTCCGCGATCCTGCGGACCATGCGCTTCTCGGGGGTCATGAAGGAGCTGAACACCCCGCTCATCTTCTGCAGCTGGGACTTGACGAGCTTGGGCAGCACGAAAGAGCCGTTCCTTTTCTTTTTGGACTTGATAGGGGGGGCCATGGTCTCCTGGTCGCTCTCCCCCTCGTAGTCCTCCAGGCTGCTGTTGGTGTCCGCCTCGTAGCCAAACAGAGGCATGCTCCGGTCGAACTCCAGCGAGTCGGAGGAGGAAGTGGAAACGCTCATGTCGCTCAGCCTCTGCCTGCCTCCATGGCACGGGGGCCGTGATTCAGAGCTGAGAGGCTGGGCCCTTGTGCAATCCCCCGAGGCCTCGGCAGGCGGGGCTCCACCTGGGCTGCCAGCTGTGCCCAGCCCCAGCTCCAGCTCCGCGCCTGGGCCGGGCCGGCCGCCGGTCAAGGTCTTTGCGCTGCCTTCCGCCTCGAGAAAAGAAGCCTGCTTCTTCAGCCGGGGTGGAGGGATGGGAGTTGGTTTCGTTCCAGGCAGAGCTACGTTCCCATGTTTGTTATGGTTGACTGTTTCTGGCATGCTCGTCTGGGTTTCAGTGCTGGACAGCCGAGGGCTTGTGTGGAGACTATTAATAGCGGGTGGCGGGGGCCTGGGTGGGGGGGACCGAGGCCTCTCGGTGCCATTCGCGTTGGGAGTCCTTGTGCCCGGCCGTTTCAGGCCGCCACTGAGGTCCTGGCTGTGCACTTTCAAGAAAAGAGGATTAATAAAACACAGGGCTCCGTTGGTCTGGCTGCACTCCAGCTCTGAAGGCGTCCTGGTTTTTATAGAATGCACTCCATTTATAAGGCAGAGCTGACGCAAGGAGGCAGGACAGACGCCGCCGTCGGAGGAGAGAGGCCTATGGAGAGGTGGAGGGTTTGGGGGTTTGTTGTCAGCTGGAGAGCTCCAAAAATCTGAAAGTCATTATCAGTGAACACAAGAATGTAAATACAGTACACTCGGGCCATTCCTTCACAAATTAAAAAAAGCACACTGCATGACAACTGCCCTTGGAGGGGAGGCACTGCACCCAGTGTTTGTTTGTTTGTTTTTCTTCCTTTCTTTTTTTCTTTTCTTTTCTTTCTTGTTTTTTGTTTTTACAGCCTTGCCTTACTGGAAAGGGCAGAATGGCTGCCAGGCCAGCTGTGGGCTCACAGGAAGCCTCCAGGGCCTTTCACCTTCAGAGCCCTTGAGAAGGCAGGACAGACGCCGCCGTCGGAGGAGAGAGGCCTATGGAGAGGTGGAGGGTTTGGGGGTTTGTTGTCAGCTGGAGAGCTCCAAAAATCTGAAAGTCATTATCAGTGAACACAAGAATGTAAATACAGTACACTCGGGCCATTCCTTCACAAATTAAAAAAAGCACACTGCATGACAACTGCCCTTGGAGGGGAGGCACTGCACCCGGTGTTTGTTTTGTTTGTTTTTCTTCCTTTCTTTTTTTCTTTTCTTTTCTTTCTTGTTTTTTGTTTTTACAGCCTTGCCTTACTGGAAAGGGCAGAATGGCTGCCAGGCCAGCTGTGGGCTCACAGGAAGCCTCCAGGGCCTTTCACCTTCAGAGCCCTTGAGAAATGGCTTGGCCAACACACAACTCTGCCTGCCTTGTCACAGGTAGATTGGAAAGAAAAAAAGAAATGGAACTGTTACAGTGCAAACTTGAAAAGGCCATCCGAGCTTCCTGACTGGCTGTAGAAAAATCAAGTCAACTCGCAAAGCAACACCCCCCTTTCTAGTCAACTTCTCCTGGGATGCCCTTCTCCAAGGCAGCTGCCAGCCAAGGAATTAGGTCTGGAGGTTCCCCTTTAATGGGCAGGCCCAGCAGCTGGGCCTGGAGGATATTACACAATCTGCTTGGGTTTTTATGCATTCAGCATTAAAATCCTCAAAGGAGAAAAACTATACTCATGGGTCCCATCAGCACAAAGGAAAAATAAAAAATAAAAAGGAGAGAGAAAAAAAAAAAGACAGTGAACTTATCTACATATTAAGTGCAGGTTCGACCTTCGCGTTTGTGGTTTGCTAGCCATCCTTCCCAAATCCTGTAAGTTCCTGACCGAGTTGATGGCCAACCTTGCAGAGTGGCCCAGATAGCTTACTGCACGCCCGCCTTTCCTCCTCAGTTGGGTCTCAGTGTCCCCTGCAACTGGGGAGGAAGTGGGGGTGACTAATACTGTTTGGTAGGGTTTCCACTTGGAAGAGGGTATTCTTTCTCCAGCTGTGCCCTGCTGTGCTTGCTTTACACATGTATTTCTTTCCTAGGGCTCAGAATGGGCTGACCTGGGGGCGCTGGGAGCCCTGGCCCAGCCTTGTCTTGTTACAACATGCTGGGTGCTGGCCCAGGGGCTGGCCGTCCTGTCACCTGCTTGGTGAGGTCCTTCTTCCATCCTCCCTTCCCTTCCCTTGAATTCGTCCCACCCAGCATGAGAGCACTGGAAAGGCGGCCAGTGCGGCTGAAGTATGCAATATTACATCTTATTTAATGTGGATCAATTTAAATGTAAAAACTGATGCTCGGGCTAGGTGGTAGAGCAGGAGGAATGTAATTGGATCCCTGGGGGGGGGGCTAGGGGTGGTTTCTGTGTTTATGTCCCAGGACCTCCAAGTACGCGGGATATGCACGCATGTGCCTGGCATCTGGGTTGAGACGGGGTGAACTGCAGCATGAAGACCCTACTGGGGATGCCTGTCTCTCTGAAGAAATAAATAAACTTTAAAGATCGAGGCTTAGCTCAGTTACTGGAAAACATTTCAACAGTGAATTTAATGAAATCTAAACACACATCATGTACTTCTTATAAAAGTTGGGGCCTTGAGTTAAATGTGCCATTAAGTGTAAAACATATACTAGATTTCCAACATGGAGTATGAAAACAAAAATATAAAATATTTCATTAATACTTCTCTTGGATTTTTGGTACTAATTGTGTGTTGGAAATAATATTTTGGGTTTATTACATTAATTAAAATGAATTAGTAGAAGTAATTCAACTCATGTCCTTTTTCTTAATGTGGCTACTAGAAAATTTAAAACCACACATGGGCTTGCTTTATGCTTCTACTGGCCAACACAGCAGGTCTTGGGGAACTACTGCCACCTCCTTTGGGTCCTCTTTAAACTTATCCTGTCACAGCTGTCAGACTTTGTAAACTTTTATGAGGCTTAGTACCCTTAATTTATGTGCGTGTCCATTTCCCATATAGACTATGAACCTCATTAATAGGGGAGAGGACTTTACCAACCTTCAAGCTCTTGGTGTGGGGCACTGTGCCTGCCATATACCAGACCCTCAAGAAATACTTATTGAATGCACAAATAAATATGGCACAGAATTTAAATGCGCTATATTTACATAAAATGGATGAGCCCATTGATAATCACAAACTAAATATATTTTCTGTTTTATCTCTTTGGTCTTAGTTTTTTGTTATAGAGCGAGTGCGCTCCCCACAGAGAAGCAGAGAGAGAGAGAGAGAGAGAGAGAGAAAGTGCAAAATCATTTCCTGTGGTGATGGCCATGCCACAATTCCTTCTCCTCCTGTCTCTTCTTAGAATTTTGGGTTCATACACACACGTACTCGCTGTGATTTTCAAGCTGCAAGGTCTAGGACTCAAACTGTGCAGTTGGCCATGAGGAATCCAACACCTTAACCTCCATACCAGCCACTGGCCCACTAAATATTAACAATCAGAGCTCATTTGTTCGGTCAGTGGCCACTGGAGCAAGCTATTTTTGCTTTTATCTTTGCAAGCAGACACAATCACTGTCCTTGAAAGTTGGTCCTTCAGCCCCAGCACTAAGCATACACTGCAGGCTGATCACCAGAGTAGAATGACGAGGACAGGGGTCATCAGAACTGAGGCCCACTGCATGTCTTCCTGAGGACCCTAATTTAGTCAATTATGTTACCTTAACTTCTGGAAGTACTTTAATCTCTCTCCAAGAGGGTGCAGAATTTAGTGTAAGAGCAAGTGGCACTTCTAAGTAGGGACAATTCTACATCCCAATCCTACTCTCCAATTACCCACTGGATAGACCTGAGACATACGGACATCCTTTTGAAGCAATCTAAGTTTCAGAAGGGAATTTGAAGCTACTTCTAGGCTACCCTATTAATTAGGCAGGCTTCCTCAAAAATAGCGTCTACCTTGAAATAAGTTCTTTAGATTCAGGAAAAAAAAAAATATATACACATAGGTTTTTCATTTGCTCGGTCAAATGTCATGGTTTTTGGTTCTAGAAATCCTGATTCCTGCATTTCAAAATCCCAAACCTCCACTTGAATACTATCTGGTTGCTAACCTATCTAAAATGGATGTCCTACAATTTTAAGAGAATTTTTCCTTTAGATCTAGACAAAGAATTCTTTGCCAAAGTTAAACCCACAGGTTCCCCAGGACCATGGGCCACAGATGTCTCCTTGGGTGAATTGTACAAGGGGACTGTAAACAGTTTGTGGAAAAAATGGAAATAAAGTACAAGCTCATGTTGGTGCAAAACATTTTTGAAATCCATGCCTAAGTTGTTCATAATATACATTTTTTCATGAACTTTTTAAAGACCCCTCATATGCCCTGATCCATGGTCAACCACTGTCCAGAGGAACCATGGGGTTTTGGAGACCTCAGTAAAGGGGCAGGAGAGGGAAGCAAACGTCCAGATGCAGAGAAAGGACTCACGGCAGGGTAAGGGAGGAGGCCCCGAACAAGGCAGGGACGAAAACTTTGAAATCCATGCCTAAGTTGTTCATAATATACATTTTTTCATGAACTTTTTAAAGACCCCTCATATGCCCTGATCCATGGTCAACCACTGTCCAGAGGAACCATGGGGTTTTGGAGACCTCAGTAAAGGGGCAGGAGAGGGAAGCAAACGTCCAGATGCAGAGAAAGGACTCACGGCAGGGTAAGGGAGGAGGCCCAGAACAGGGCAGGAATGAAACAATACGAGAGGAAGTGAAATGTTACTCTAGCTGTTACTCTAGATGCCTGGCTGTCAAAGTCCTCAAAGCACAAAAGTGTCAGCAATGCTGGTGCCCCTCGCAGATACAAACAATACAAACGCAACACGCCACATTGAAGTTTCCCTTTCCGTCAAGCACTGCTTTTCCCCAGCAGGATGCCACAGAAAGAAAAGACAATGACACATCATAGATGTTTACACTACATGACTTTAGGACCTCAACACTTCGTGGAGCCCTGACTCATCGATGGAAGAAGCTGGAGAGATTTGAGAGCTACCCAGCACCAGTCCCTTGGCGCCAGTCCCTTTGGCAGCTGGCTGAACACCGGACAAGAGAAAAGAATCTCAGAAAGTATGATTTGGAGACCTCAAGAATCTGAGTTTTGGGCTGGATCTTGGAGGTGGGGACCATTTTTGAGCACTGGCGTGTTTGATGCAGCAATGGAGCCATGGCCAGCTCAACACTGCGTTCACTCCATGCATTCATTACAAGACAGACCCGGGCAGGGGCACACACTTACTTAGTCCCAGTTGAGCTAGTTCTTCAAGTTGAGCCTCAGTCTTGGCTGTCGAAATGGCATACGGCAACTTCAAGGTAAACGGCAGAACATCCCTGCATTTTTAGAAAAAATGTTTGTTATTACATGTCTGGTTTCTATCTCTTACATTCTTTTTCATCCTACAGATAGTTTTGCTTGAACTATTTAAAATGTCCTAAGTAGACACCTGACTGTACCCAATCAGAACTTCTCTTTATTGATGATAGGATTCAGTACTTACTTTTTCTATCTGCATTACCACAGTCTGGATAGGCTGGGAGAAAAGTCAGCATGGTTTCAGTATCTGCGGTGAGGACCAAATATCCTTGTGTGTAGCTAAAAGGTGTGGATAGTTAATAGAGAGTTGCTGGCTGGGCTGGCAGAGCTATCACACGTATGAAACACTGTGTACTAATTGCTAGATGCCCATGTGAATGATGGGCCCCAACTCCTTGGGCAGG